ACTCAGATCATTATTTTTCCTGCTGACACAAAATGGAGTGCACAGTTCACTTTCAGCAGGATGTTGGGTGACACTTTATTTTGAGTGGTTCTTTCAGATGAAACAAACACTCAACAGACTCAGTAACATGTCAAAAAACATATGAGGGCTAGGTTTAGGTTTTGGGTTGATGTTAAGGTGAGGGGTAGGATTAGGCCCAGGGCTAGGTTTAGGTTTTGGGTTGAAGTTAAGGTCAGGGTTAGGGCCAGGGTGAGGGTTAGGTTTTGGGTAAGGTTGAGTAAGGTTAGGTTTTGCATAATGGAAGTAACATATTAACAATACATCTACTTAATGTAAGTAATGCATCAACAGAACATCTACAAGATATTTACTTTGATGTATTCAGATGATTCACTACGATACTTCACTGATATGTTGTTGATGTGTTACTGATAATCTATTGAGTTTATTAATCATCTACAAAGGACCACTGCAAATAAAGTGTTACTGCAGATTGTTATTTTAATTTACATGAAATATGTTCACTGAGACCAAGTTTGACATGTATGACATGTTGGCGTAGACTTTAATGCTGAATGTCTGTGTGTCTGCTTTTTAAAAGTTGTTTGACAACTTTCCTGGACTGCTTTGAATACAACCTTTGAATCTACATCTTTTTTTATTAAAAATAATTGTAATGTGCCAATGTTGCTTTATATTTTAAAGGGTCCATATCATGGAAAATCAAATTTTCCTCACACTTTTATAGTAGCTTCTTTCTGCAGGCCTCATTTTCTGCAGTGACTATTCCACCAGTGGAATGGAAACCAATTTGAATGTTTAAATATAATCAAATAAAAAAAATCTGTTATCAAATTTACTAGAGAACTGTTGGCTGTCTATGTGTGAACTGTTATGACTCTATGGAGCTGCTAGTGAGCAATGAGCAGTGCCAGGGGAGGGACGAGCACCCCCTGCTGTAACAAAAATTCACACAAAGACGATTGTGCTGAGACAAAACAAAGAGCACAGCTGCAGCTTTGATATAAAAAAAAATTGCAAACAGCTGCCACAATAAACAAATAGTTTGGTTGCTTTTTTGCAAATTATACACAATTCCACTAATAAATTGTCCATCAGTGTTAAAAAAGTGCATAGTTTAAATGAGGAGGCTGAAACTACATTTTATGGCTACTGTGAAAAAAGTATATAAGCATTTGATGTGGTATGTAAACAGCAGTTTACCTCCACCCATTCATGCTGAAGTGTTTTAGCCAGAACTGCTTTTTGAATGAAGCGCAATATAGGATAGCCAATCAGAATAGAGCTCATTTATATATGTCAGTCTTGAAGGCACTGTAATGAACAAAAGCCTATTTAATCATGTAAAGATTAAATATTTGGTACATAAATCCACATAAACCTCAGAAGAAAAAATATATGAGAGAAGTGTAGGATGTGGCCTCTCTAAGATATGAACTAGAGGAGGTGCTGTTGACAGGGTAACAATTTATGGTGTTAACATTATTAAACAAGGAATCCTCTGAATCATATCATCCTGTACTGATAACCAGCGTGTTTATGTATCTTCCATCCCAACATTTGCTATCCCCGTGAGGTTTTTATTGGAGCTGGAAGTGAGTGTTGGGCGAGTGGGTGCTGGTGAGAGACGAATGCGAAATTGGCAGACGATAGTAACAAGGTGATTATAATTGGACTCAATTCACAGTTGTAGACAATATCATTATAATTTAGATATTCTGCCGTAAAACAGTCAGCGCAAATGGCAGCGATTGGACTGGACTGCTAAGCCCCTTTGCCATCAGAGAGAAGCACACGCTCAGGGTTAGAATAGAAAGCCTGATGTATAGCCCTGCCTTAATTGCCCTCTGAACAAATTGTGTTCCCCTTTTCTTTTATCCCTCACTGGCATTTGTGCTTTTTACCATTCTACCTTGCAGTCAGGATCAGGATGGCTGTGGACTTTATTGGGTAGTTAAAGTCTTAATAAAGCTTACCATCACTCCCTTAAGCCTTTGAAAGTGGACTTTCTTCCAAATATACCAAAAGGCAACAGCTAACTTTTCAATCTCAGACGGGTATGTGTTTTTTTTTCCCACTCGCCAGCTTCTCATATTTTCTTGCCAACTTATTGCTGCATTTAATAATATACAAATTATTTTTGTATGATATGGAAAAGTTAACAATAATTGGTTTTGATGTTCTTCAGATCATTTCGGTTTTGGCAGATATTATCTTTAGAAAAACATACTGGCATTGGATAGATGTTTACATTTGACCGATCATACTGATATTTGATGACTTATTTATTTTATTCTGGATAAGCAAAACGCGTAGATGATTCTGGGCTACTGCACTAAATACATACATACATACATCATCTAAACCGCTTATCCTTCTGGGTCGCGGTGGGGTGCTGGAGCCTATCCCAGCTGTCATTGGGCGGAAGGCAGAATACACCCTGGACAGGTCGCCAGTCCATCGCAGGGCAGACAGACAGACATACACAATCACACACTCACTCACACCTAGGGGCAATTTAGCATGTCCAGTTGGCCTGACTGCATGTTTTTGGACTGTGGGAGGAAACCGGAGTATCCGGAGGAAACCCACACAGACACGGGGAGAACAGGCAAACTCCACACAGAAATGACCTTGGTCGCCCGGCCGGGAATCGAACCCAGGCCATTCTTGCTGTGAGGCAACAGCACTACCCACTGCGGGCGGCACGGTGCACTAAATATCTGCATTTTATTCATTTTACTGCATTTGTAACCTTACAGAAATATGTTATATTTCTAATGCTAATCCAAGTAGATTTAGTCCCATGTTTTTCATTTTAGAAATAGAACACCATTTCCAAAAAAGTTGTAAATAAAAACAGAATTCAATGATGTGCAAATCTTTTAAACCCTACATTTAATTGAAAATAGTACGAACACAACATATCAAATGTTTATTGTTTATTGTTTTTTTTTTTAAATAAATACCCATTTTGAATTTGATGTGAGCAACGCATTTCAAAAAAGTTGGGACGGGGCAGTTTTAAAAGTGATATGTTTTCCCATTCTTGCTTGATATAGGATTACAACTGCTCAACAGTCCCGGGTCTGCTCTGCCGTATTTTTGGTATTGTAATACGGCAAATGTTTTCAATAGGTGACAGGTCTGGACTGCAGGCAGGCCAGTTTAGCACCCTAACTCTTCTACTACAGAGCCATGCTGTTGTAATACATGCAGAATGAAGTTTGACAATGTCTTGATAAAATAAGCAAGGCCTTCCCTGAAAAAGACGTCATCTGGATGGCAGCACATGTTGCTCCAAAACCTGTATATATCATTCAGTATTAATGGTGTCTTCATGGATATGCAAGTTACCCTTCCCATGGGCACTGATGCACCTCCATCCCATTACGGATGCTGGTTTTCGATTTTTTAGGACAGGACACATTTCACCTTCGCCTCAGTCCATCTTAAATGAGCTCGGGCCCAGAGAAGGCGGCAATGTTTCTGAATCCTGTTTGTATATAGTTTCTTATTTCCATGATAGAGTTTTAAGTTGCAATTGTGGATGTTTACAGACAGTGGTTTTCAAAAGTGTTCCTGAGCCCATGCAGTGATTTCTACTACAACAGTCTGTTTTTAATGCAGTGCCACCTGACGGCCCAAAGATCATGGTCAGCCGATAGTGGTTTTCAGCCTTGTCCCTTGCATACAGAGATTTCTCTGGATTCCTTGATTTTTTTGATGATATTATGTACCGCAGATGATGAAATCCCAAAGTTTTTTGCTATTTTACATTAAGAAATGTTATTCTTGAGTTGTTGCACTATTTGCCTACGTAGTCTTTCACAGAGTGGTGAATGCTTCCCCATCTTTACTTCTATAAGACTCAGCCTCTCAGGGATACTCTTTTTATACCCAATTATGTTACTGACCTGTGGCCAATTGACCTAATTAGTCGTGAGAGTTTTTTTTTTTTTTTAGGTGTTTTAGCATTACACAAATGTATCAGTCTTGTTGCCCCTGTCCAACTTATATAACAAATTTTCAAAACAAAATTTCTCAGTTTCAACATTAAATATGTTGTCTCTGTACTTTTTTCAATTAAATATAGTGCACGCCATTGCATTTTGTTTTTATTTACATTTTGTACAGTGTCCCAACTTTTTTTGGAAACAGGGTTGTATTTATGTATCAGTTTTACCTGATATGTATATGAAAAATATTAGAACCCCCATATTGGCGTATCCATAGTAAAAACGACACAGATTGGTGACATTTTAAAATAATTTAATATCTGATACCTTGGATGAACATGGTTTTTTTGATTGTATATCATTCTGATACTTGTATTCACCATTAAATTTGTAATTTTCTGTAGCTTTTTTTAAATCAGTGACAAAAAGACTTTTATATGATACATTTAATATGATAAATGATAAGCTCATGTTTTAGCTGTCGGATTTCATCGATTTGAAAAATTTGGTTTAGATTTGTGCTCAAGCTCGGAGAACATACTGGCTGTACCATTTCAAATGTAACATTTCAGATGTGGAAATTAAGGGGTTAAATCTTGCACATTTGCAACCAGTGTGCACATTTTATGTATTGAAGTTAATAATCACTGTTGGAAATTTGATGTAGAGACAGAAATTGGCACCGGCTCCTTATAAGCACCAGGGAAAACATGATTAAACGATGACTTGTTTTAATATTGTATTAGTATAATAAAAGTAAATGGTGTTAACCAGTATTGAAATGTCTGTTGTCCATTTTAAAGCAGATTTATGCGTTCTAATTTTCCAGTATACACTGCGTTTAAGATGGCAAATTGTCATATTGTTGGGTTAGTGTGCTTGTGCGAGAATATTTTAGTCCTGTTTGAGTGGTGCCGTTAAAATATAGTCATTATAAATTTCATACTCGTGTTTTTATTCTGCTATGATTCACATTTCACATATTTGACATGCTTATTGTTCTCCTTTTTGTGTCCTCAGATGAACACGGACATTTGAAAATATACCTGCCCAAAAAGCTGCTTGAATGTCTACCAAAATGCTCCTCGTTGCCAAAAGAGAGACACAGGTGGAACACCAATGAGGTAAGGTCACCTCTCTCTCTGCCATCTGCTGCCGTCTTTTTTTACTGTTGCTGACCTTATAGAAATCAAGTCTTTTTTATTTTAAGCAATGCATCTGAACAGAAAGTTTGCCCTGCAGTCATATTACGCACAAATGCATCATTGTTTAGGTGTAAGAGCTTTGTGGAACTGTGGTTCAGTATATACCCTATTAATTGTGTGCAAAGATATGCACAGTGTAAACACAGTGAACACTATAGGTGGACTTCTACAAATGTATAGCAGTGACATTTGTACATTTCTGCTCAGATTTAGCTTCTTCCTACATTTCTGCATAGCAGTTTGCAAGTTTGAACTACATAGTATAACCTTCTCAGCCATCTGCTTTTGACCATTTTTATTCAGAATGATTATGACTGCTATAAATAGAGTGTGTGTTATTTATGCCGTGCAGTAGCATATGGTTTTAGTTGTGCTAGTACAACCTGTCAGATGTTCTCTTGGTGCCTTTCCTCTCTTTATTTGGGCTGGAATATGAATGCTGTCTTAAGACTGCTTGTCTTTTCCTCAGAATGGATTTCCCTGGTGGTGTTTTATGTCGAGTCTCTTTGTGCTTGTGGAGAATGTTTCTGCAGATGTACAGAGGTATCCCAGTACTTTCAGCACATTGTCAAATTTGATTTCGGAATGACAGAGTCAGGGTATTTTCGAGTCTCAACATTAAAAATGTAAAGATGAATCGCTATGAAATGTGCCTTGTAGTAGAATTAGACATATAAATCTCTTGTGCTTTATCTGGTTAATGTTGCAGTCAGCATGCTATTTTACAGACTGCTGAGTGTGGGGTGGGGGGTGGGGGACGGGTGGGCGCATCCACCTAATAATCTGCATATGAAAATGCAATTTAGGTGCCTTTTATCAAAGTCTGAAGGTATTTCACGTACAATGTATCAAACAAACAAGGGAAGATAAGGAGGCTCTTAGATTTCTTTGCACTGAGAATGAAAATGCGCTGTTTATGTTTTTGCGACTGGGTGAAGAAAAATCACAGAGGCAGTTTGCCAGTTGTCCTTGACCTGCAGGCCAGCCGTTTTAAATTAGTTGATTTCCCTCAGTCTAGCTACTTTATCGTTTAATGGAAACGAGACGGCGTTTTTTGCTTGATTTTCACATTTTATTTGTTGTTCATGTTCAGCCTGCTGTGCGCCGTGGCTCTTCCCCCCACGCACTGGCTGACCAAGAGACTGAAACTAAACATTACTTAGCTGCTTAAAGCTGCGGGGATTTGAAATGATTGCCATCGTCGAAAATTCTTCTGAAGAAATTCATAAACTCCTTGCATACTCGTGCTGCATTTTTAATACATTCTAGTGACGCATCTGTTGCTTTGGCACATTAACTGACAGGCAGCAGTATCATCAGAGGACGCAACACAAAGGAGTCCATCCTGTAGCTTTTTTTTTTCATAAATCATAAAGTTTCTAAATGGCACTTCCTACTTTTTTTTTTTAATTAATGCTGTTCTGCTGCGAAGGTTGTTAAAAGGAGGGATGAGGAGTGCTGTGGTGGGTGAGCTCGCCTCCCTGGAAATCATAATGCCTGCCACAGCCCCCCTACATAACTCACATGTCACTCTCGCATCAATTTCAGCCCTGCCAAAAGCCCCTAGTGACAAATCACTGACGTTGCCCTCTTAAAGGGATATTTATGAATTGAATACACTACTTTATCCCTCGGCGTATTCTTTATGGAGTGACAACCTTGCTTTTTTTTTATTGGGTTGTGGTGGGAGGGGGGGTTGCCATGTAAGGAAATGAATGACAATACCGGAATAGAGACTGAAAGCTGAGGTCTCTGACTATTTGTGTATCTTGTCAGGATCAGAAATGCTTTCCTCCTGTGGAGATAATCTGCAGCTCAGGTGCATTCTTGTTTAATATATACGCTTTGTAATGCAAATTCGGGAAGGAAAAATGCAGCTGTTCATGTTCCTTCCCATGTAATATGATGCAACGGCCAAGACTTCAGAAAGTCTGGTAACGATTTAATTTCCATTGTGTACAAAACCTGTCAGTTTGAATCAAGTGGAAATTGCCATATATACATATATATATATATATATATATATATATATACACCGATCAGGCATAACACCACCTCCTTGTTTCTACGCTCATTGTCCATTTTATCAGCTCCACTTACATATAGGTGCACTTTGTAGTTGTACAATTACAGACTGTAGTCCATCTGTTTCTCTGCATACTTTGTTAGCCCCCTTTTACCCTGTTCTTCAGTGGTCAGGACCCCCATGGACCCTCAGAGAGCAGATACTACTTGGGTGGTGGATCATTCTCAGCACTGCAGTAACACTGACGTGGTGGTGGTGTGTTAGTGTGTGTTGTGCTGGTACAAATGGATCAGACACAGCAGTGCTGCTGGAGTTCTTAAACACTGTGTCCACTCACTGTCCACTCTATTAGAGGCACCCGCTTTGTTGGTCCACCCTGTAGATGTAAATCCAGAGACGATAGGTCATCTCCTTTGTTGTGGTATGAGCTAATCATCCTCTAGTCCTTCATTGGTGTTCACAGGATGCTGCCCACAGGACGCTGTTGACTGGATATTTTTGGTTGGTGGACTATCCTCAGTCCAGCAGTGACACTGAGGTGTTTAGATACTCAAGCAGCACTGCTGTGTCTGATCCACTCAGACCATATATATAAACCTGTTGTTTATTGTCAACCAACTGTTGTAGGCTTGATTGTGATGATAGGGGAGAGCAAAAAAAGGCAACAGCATTCCCAACAATCAGTTAGCGAGTTCCTAATTGAGGACGATGTTGTAACTTGTTTGACCCAGGGTGTTGCGCTCGCAGTCAAAATTAATTAAAGTTTTTTTGAAATTGATTGGAAAATGTCGGCACTTGTAGAAGTGAACCGCTGGCGGCTGCGGCTTTGTACAGTGTGTCAAGTCATTTATTACAGAAATTAAATCACAACAGACGCCTCATAAAGAAGGAGAAACCCAGTAGTATTTTCAGCGTTACTTTAAAGAGCATTTAATATGTTGTCAAGCGCCCTTTGGATTAATGTCAGCTATCAGTGGCAGAGGCTCCGAGCGGGCTGTGCGAAGGCTGCCGCGGAGGCATGCCTAATTCTTATGTGGCGTGCATCAGGAGAGCGTGTTGCATGGGAAAGGAGGGGAGTCAACCTTCCCAAAAACCAAGGGCATTTCTCTTTCATGTGCGCCAGGCAGACACCAGGGCTGGAGTGACTCACTGATGGCAGGCTGAGAAGGATTAAGGAGTCTCTCGTTGCTGCTGATTGTGTGACTCTTACTGAAAGTGACACCTCATTTATTCTCTGCATATTCCTCCTGCTTGTCCTGCATGCTTAATGCTGCCTTGTTTTTCTCCCCGCTTGAAATTTAACACGTCTTCGGAAGCAGGAGGGGCCATTGTTTTTGTTTGGAACCGATGATGCTAAAATGTGTTAGGTTAACCATGCAGTGCAATCTCTTACCTTGAAGTCTTCTTGGGAAGTTGATCATAAAAAAAAAAAAATAAAAAAAAATGCATTTTTTTTTAATGATCAATGTTTTTTTTTTAATGTCAAAACTATGAATGCATTGCTTTTTATTCAATAAGTCGCATACAGCACTGCACTAAATCCAATTCAACAGGTCTGAATGTGGTCTTTTTTATCATAAAACATGCTGTGTTCTTTAAGAACAATATGGTCAGAAAAGCATATTGTGAAGCAATTTATCACAATAACGATAAAATATCGCCACCACATGCAGCATATGCAACAGATCATAGATCTCTTTTCTCACCCTACTCTCTCTTCAGAATTAAGAATGATGCTTCTTGGCTTGAACGCAAGGTCCTACAAAACATCTTTTATTAGTGTAGAACTTTGCTGTTATCTAGAGGCTCTTTACACTTTAAAAACAAGTTTTTTACACTCACATATCTTTTTCATAAAACTGATTTTTCAATGAACCCTCCATTAAAAGGTTCTTTAGAGAACCAAATGCGGTTCTCCATTGGCAGCGTTTTCCAACCCTGATCCTGGAGGCCCTCTGCCCTGCATATTTAGTGCTTTAGTGCTTAGACCCACTGACTCAGTAAGGGGTTGTCAATGAGGTAATTAGTTGAATCAGGTGTGTTGGGAGCAGGCAAAAAATTTTATGTGCAGAAGAGTGAGCCTCCAGGATTAGGGTTAATGTTAGGTTTAGAGTTGGGGAAACTATGGTTCACTCCAAAGAATCCTTTTTGACACCAGCATTTTAGATGCAAAGCCCTTGTTAGACCTGGCTGGCAGTTTGTTCACTCACTTACTCACTCACTCACTCACATTTAGCAGTTTGAAGATTCTTCACAAGGGGGCATTATTAGCACTCCAGTTAATTGGCATAGGGTTTTTTCCTCATAAGAGTGGTGCTTTGCATTAGTGACACTGTGTATCATTATTATTATCATTAAGATGCATAGAGATGCAGCAATCATGATTTTTTTATGGCTGATTTGCAATTTCCCTAGTGCCAAATTGGCTGATGTTTATTAGCCTTTTTAAACTGTTGGGGTAAATGAAAACCTTAAACACACTAGTACAATTCCAGCATTTTCTCCTAGCCAAGCTAGCAATACGTACAGCATTATTTTCTCTTTACTAGACCAAACTGTCATTTAGATTTTTTAAATTTTAAACCAGTTGCCTATTTAAAAAAACATATCAAATACAACTTTGTTTAGCACAGTGGGTCATGTATGATCATGCTACAACATTTTGGTACAGGTGTGGCAGCAGCATTCAAGTACAGCACAAGTGCACTTACCTGACACCCGTTATTTACTTTATAAAATTGTCACACAGATCCGCCAAAGTAAAAATAATAAACTGGCCAATTGCTGATTCTGAGTTTTGAGCAAAACTCTGCTGATTCTGATCTTGGCTGATCTGTAGACTTGTACATTGTGTTGAGCAGTGCTCCATAATTCCTGTGGAATCTAAATGAGA